TTTCATTAATTCTTGGTATATTATTTATATAATTGGGTTAAAAAATAATCAATATATGATTAGTCAGTATATAGGAAAAAAAATGTATATATTTTATTATTCCTAATATTTTAATTTTTGAAAAATGTAATATTACGTTCGATGTCTCTATATTGATTATCATTGTAATTATAACTATGTAAAAAGAAAATTAAATGATTTGTAAGTATTAAATTAAATAAATTTCAATATGATTTTTCTAAAATAAATAAATTATATATATGCTATTTTAATATTATTGTACATTATAAAATGAGTATTGTTCATATAGCCATACGTATTTTAATGTAGAATATATGCATACATTATTATACAAAATAAATTCACATATTTAATGTATAAACGTATATAAATAAACAAAAAATTAAATTTTAAAGTATAGAATGTACACAAAAAAATAATAAAAGTGCATGTATTGTATATTGATGTTGTATCATTCACTCAGTTAACAACAATTACACTTATAAAAAAAATATGTTCTTAAATAAAATTAGGCGCATACAAAAATATAACTAAAATTAATATGAACAAGAAAATTTATACAACTTTAAAAAATACATAAATATATAATATAATAAAAGGGGAAAAAATTTTGATAAATAGATTTCTATAATAGCATAATGATAATGTAAATTATTTACATTTATTGTATATAGAAAATCAATTGGAATATTTAAAAAAAAAATAAATATGTTACTATTATTAACTTTGACAAATGATTATTTTACATTTTAATTATTAAAACAGTTATATTATCTATTAACAACATTTATTTTGTAGTATATAAAAGCAGTGTCCGTAAATATATAATATTTATTTATGTGTTTGTAAAGATTACTACACAACAAAATATTTTTTTTAATTACTTTTCATATATAATACTACTGAAGCATTAAATAATGTTAATTTCTAAGTTAAGAAATCATGCTTATTCCTTATTTGATATAATATAGAATATACTGCATTTTACGAAATATATTATAACTGTAAATGTTATAACAAAAATCATAGGTAGAAATATAATATTCACTATAATTGTTCATATATTTATAAAATAAAAAACATATATTATTCAATAAATATAATTGTTTTAATAAATATTATTATATATGATGATAATATATTTAACATAAATAATTGTTACTTATTTTTTAATATCTTAAGTAATTATATAATCATAATGTAATTATGACATATTATGTTCGTTGTTATATTATGTACAATCGGTCAACTTTATATTTTTTAAATTTCCTATGTTTTTCATATATTACTATTTAAAAATTAAACATAAATCATTAATATGCGCATGAAGTTACATGTGAGAACCTATCATTGGGTCTATACTTATAATATAAAATACTATATTTATATGAGTTCATATTTTAATGAAAAACAATTATTACTAATTAACATATACATATAATTTATTTAATTGAGCTGCTTAGAATATATTATATTCTTTTATTTAATATATTAGTGTATATTGTATTATACATAATGTCATGTTTTACATGATTTTTTTTTCTATAATATAAAATTTTGTTTCTCGTTATACTTAGATTTTGAAAAAAATTACTGCGTTTTAGGATATAAATTTTAAGAAGTTTTCTAATTTGTTAAATCTTAATAATAATATCATTATGTATTTTATTTATGTATATTATAATTTTCGATATATTTTTACGGGATATAAATTTATAGATCATTTTCTAGTGACTTTAATTATTGTACAATATATGTAAATATTTATAAATTTATATTATCAAATATAACTTAAAATAATTTTTTTTTGGAAACATTGAATATATTTGTATCATTATATTAAAATATTTTAATTTGAATAATTATATTTTATATTTTTCTGAAAGAATTTTATTTAATTTTTTTAAGTATATAGAATTCATTAGCTATTATCATAGGTTTGTTAGGTGCAATTTTCAGAGCTCTATGCTATACTAAAACTATTATCATATGAATTTTTGTACATCATAACAGGTTAATTCATTAGGTCTATATTCTCCTTACTTCTTTTTTTAAAATTTTTTTTTAATTGTCTTACCCTTGGTTTTAGAAATGATAGATATAATGTATACTTATAAAAAAGAATATATATTCTATTACTCTTTTGAGTAGAATATTTATATTATACGCATTATGCAACATAAATGCAGTATAAAGTAGAATATAATATATATTTTGCAAATTAAAATATTTTTATAATCTTATACAGAATGAATATAATTATTAATATAGGTAATATTATATGAGATATTCATAATCCTGAAAAAGAACTTTTTTCTCCTATTTCTAATTTTAGTGCCTCTGACAATGTTATTTTTTACATTCCTGCATTTGTTACATTTGGTAATGTTAATTCTTGTGATATTTCTGTTTTAATTAGTTTTGTTTTGGGAAGTTCTATGGTTTCTACTAGTTTTTATTTTTCTTCAAGTATAGTTTTTTGTTCTTCCAGTTATAAAATTTTTTTTTTTTTTATTTCATGGAGGTTACTTTTAATATATATTCTCTATTATAAAAATCATAGAACGTTGTGTATCCCTCATTTTCCCTTTTAAGTTTTTCCATTACAAATAGGACCTCATGTTCCTCCTATATATCTTTATTATCTAAAATTTTCCTATATATATCATAAAAGATTATACGATAAATATAATACCAAAAACGAGAATATATTTGAAAAATATTTTTATGTATTATAACCATATAACGAAAGATGTCAAATAATATCATTTTTTTCACTTTTTTCAACGTATTTTATAATATCATAATTAGCGTTATTAAAAATATAATTGTATATGTCAAGTGGTTGGTAATTTAGAGGAAGTTATTGATTCCTTAATCTTTGAATTATATCATCAAACGATAGATTAAGATGTGCTCTATTACAACCAGGATTTATTAATACATGTGTAAGCATTTATAAGAAGTAAATACATCTGTGTAGTACATATATATGAATATAATGTAATTTTTCTTTTAAATAATATAAATAACGACCGAGATAAATAAAATACAAATAACTAATTCTACAGGAACATGCATTATTTGCATTCATATTACGATTTAATTGATTGTATAATTTATATAATTTACTATTTAAGCCAATATATAAACTTTTGTAGTTACTATTATAATATTTTTTACAAAATTACAATTATATGCATATATTTGAAATATATCATCAAAATCAAACTAATTATATATATAAATATTTGGAATTATATATATTTTTATTCTATATATAGTTTCTTTTAAGCAAACAATTGTAGTTTAAATGTAATAATATTATTAATTATTTGCATAACATGAGGAAAGCTACTTGTTCTTTAACAATTTTAAATAGAGCCTATATGCTTTTTGTTCTTCGTGCTACAAAACATTTATGTATAATTTAATACAAAATTCTTCGCGAAAAGTATAATAATAAGTATTATATTAATATTATTTCAATTAACATTTATTAATGCATTCTTATTTTTATTAATTTTTGATTGTGGATAAATAAGTTTTTACAGTGTAAGATGATATATTTGTCACGAAACAAGTTATATAAATTTCAATTCATATTTATATTTAAGAACAATTAAAGTAGTAAGAGTGACTCTATTATGCTTGTTATAGAGGGCGTATATATTTTTTTTTTTAAAAAATACTTTTATGTCTATAACCCGCCAAATGAGAAAATATAAATTATGTTTTTTATTGTTTGTTAAAAATGAAATGAGGTAATAAAATATATAAAAAATGGAAAACATTGTTATCTTCATATAATTGTAATAATTCAAACTCTATTTTAAAATGATAATCCAAAAAATTTAACCTATTATTTACGTTGTATAATAGAAGTACGGGTGTACGTGATAATCAGCATATATATATTAAAAATTCCGTTAGAAACATTTTTTTCTTCCCATTTAATAATAAATACTCTATATTATATTTAAAGCATCTTGTATGTTGCATATATAAAGAGAATATTCTAATACAACTTTTAATGTGGTGAATTTAATAAAATTAATATATCAACATAATAAATCGTAATAATATCAGTTAACATTATAAACAAATGAATGGAAGTTAATATAAAAGTTTTTATCTTAATGTATTAATATATAAAAAATGAATGTATTATGTAATATTTATAAATTATATGAATTAATAATTATAATACATCATTTATAGGGGGAATTGTAGTGTCCATTTAGACACAACAACATAATAGCGAAAATTATTGAATAAAAGTATATATATAAATTACTATACTAAAAATATTAATTATCAGATTCCATATGCCATAAGAACCCTAAATTTTCTGTTAGTTCTGAGTATGATAAAAGTACACAAAAAATATAATAAATTTTAATTTTGTTTACGTAATATTATTTACATTGAATAACTATATATTAATAATATTACTCATATTAAAAAAAAAAGTATATTTTTCGTTTTTATACAGATTTATATTTACATATATCAATTAGTTTAAGCATGAAAAACTCAATTGAGCATTAAAAATTTAGAGTAGTTAAAATTTTGCGCTTTATACATTTGTATTATGATTAATTTTTATAGAATGGATAACTAAATAATGTTCGCAATTTTATTATCCTCAAAACATTACAAAAATTTTTAGAAATAAATGTATTATTAAAGTTGGAAATAATCTATAACATGTAATATAATTAAATACATATAATTTTTGTATGTATATAAAATTAGTTTTTTCTTGAATATCTTTTTTTTTAAGGTAATTTATAATTAATTTATATTACATTTTGTTTATTAATTTTTATATAAATATTCTTGTTATATCTGTTTAATACGTATTGATCTTTTTTTTATTTATTTTTCTTATTCATTAAAATAGTATTTTTTAGATATATTTTCCTATTTTTATTGCTCTTATAATATATGTACAATATATTCTGAATATTAAAATATTACTCAGAATGGTATCCTACACAATGATCTTCTCTATTCATATATTTTGGATTGCAAGGTTCTGATGAGTAATCAAATAACATATTTTTGCTTCTATATACGTCACTTATAATATTTTTTTTCTGTCCAAATATTTTGCGCAACCGAATTCCTATTGGTGTAAACTTGCAAATAATGTGAAAAAAATAACAGTTTTATTGATTATTTTTTTTTTTTTTAAAGGGGGAGCTATTAAAATAAATGTATTTCTAATTTGTATTAATACAAAATATAATTACTTTATACAAAATACTAGAAAGTAGAGTAAATAAAATTAAACCCAGAAAAGCTTTTCCTAAAATTTTTATAATGCTAGATCCGCCACGATTTATAAATAAATCAGCAAATTCATCTATTCCATACAGTGTTAATAAGGAATCATCTGCAGGAGCAAGTACATCGAATGATATAAAATGACCATCAGATTCCTTTGCATCTATTGCATCGGATTGAACTTCTACTGAATTTTCCCTTTCTGTACTTTTATGACCGGAAAATGTATCTTTGCTTTTAACAGCAGAATTCTCAGGAATTCCTTTCTCCGCTTCAATATAATGATTAATCTGTGCTAACGCATTGGATGGGCTAGATTCCTTGCATTTACTAAAAAATTCTGGACAATTATTATTATATTGTTGTTCATTACAATACTTGTTATATTCATTATATAAATTGGTTTTTCTATTAAAATACTCAATAATGATATTTCGCTTATCCTTATAGTTCTTAGAAATGCTGAGAATTGTTTCATAATCGATGCAGTAATCATATAACTCTTTCCTTTGCATCCAGTTACGTTGATATAGAATTTTAAATTTTGGACTACACTTATTGTAAAATGAACTATATATAGGAGTTTCAACAAGAGAATTCCATAACAACTGAAGTTTACCAAACTTATCAGTAATAGGACCAGACATCCTTTTATAAATCCAAGATAATCTACTGTATATCCAATAATTCAAAAGTTCGCAGTTATTGTAGACATTATTTTCTTCATTTATAATTGTACTTGCTGTACTTAGATTCCATAAGAGTACTGAACAAAGCCTTCTATACAAATCATTTCTATGTGTAGTATTAAAAAGTTCACATATGTTATAATACACTTTTAACTCATTTTGTTTAAGTCTCGAATTAACATTATTATAATTAAAAAGATGACGATCCAATTTTTTATAAAATTGTGCTGATGGTAATCCTAGTGTGTCATTTTCAAAATATGCCTAATGAAATTAAAATTATGTACCTGCTTAAATATAGATATCATAGAATTTATTATATTATAAATAATAATATACACCTTAAAAAAAAAATAAATGGAATAATTATAACATCCCACGAGGTATAAATATTACTTTTAATATATTTTGTATATTTTTTTTCTCCATAATGAAGAATATAACAAATTATTATGTTTTTAGAGGTCTTAAAAGTTTATATATGTAATACTTCAAGGAAATTATAGTTACATTATGCATAACAAATATCATTAAGTGTTATTCAAATATGGAATATATTTTTTATGTATAATGCCCCTATAAACGATATAATATAAATTATATATATGAAGGATTAAAAAAGAAATATTAATATTTTATATTTAAAATAAAAATAAAAGTGAAAAAAAGAATGATTCTATATATTAGGTGACATTATAATAACATACACTACCTATATCACATTATATATATAATTGTTAAATAATAAAATAAGTAAATTTGTACAAAATATTACTTAAATATGGTTTAGGTTTAGCGTTCATACTTCATGGATTAGTATTCAGGGTTAATGCTTTAGGTTTTAGTCTTTAGGTTTGGATTTTCGTTTAATATTTATTTTTGGATTTAGCTTTTTGTTTATGTTTTTTGTTTTGTGTATACACTTTAGGTTTTGAGTGTTTAAATTTAGGTTTTACGTTTATTGTTCAGAGTTCATTTTTCTTTGTTTAGTAATTTAATGATCAGTTTTTCTGTTCTGATATTAGGTTTTTGTGTTTTGGGGTTTTTGGTATATGTTACAATTATTTATTTTTGTGTTTCATTATATTTTTAAAATGTCTATTTTCATGAATTTTATGTTTTATTTTATCTTACGTTTTTAACTTAATTTATATATATAACTTCTATATACGTAATTTTTAGATATAGTTTAACTCAGCATTACTATTAATGTGGTTTTTTACAATATACTAAATCTTTATCTTTAAATAACTTATATATATTTTTACACATATATAACACATATATGGTACACATATTACGTTTATGTCTAACCATTCATTTATTATATCAGTGATAATATCATAATCATTTATTTATTATTATTTTTTGACATAAATCTTTAAAGGTATTTTACGTTTATTTTAAATTTATAATGATATAAAACAATATATATTCCTATTCAAAATTTATTTATTAGTGGATAAACAAATATATTCTATAATATTTCATTAATTTTTATAAAGGAAAATACATTTTACATGTTTTATATGTATTATGTCCAATATATTGAACAAAATTATATTTGATCATTTTGTCGTAAAAATATATTTATTTGTAATATTATATTAGTATAATATTTTACGTTTTTAATTATATTTTGAAAATAATAATTAATTAATAATAATCATTTCTATGTAGGTATAAATTACATTATATGTTTTTTGAATTTTACTTGCACATAAAGTTTGATTTATGGTCGTAATAATGAAACTAAATTTATAAGCCTATCTATGGATTAATATTTTTCATAATGTATTGTATTAAATCTTGTATAATTTATTTTATATTTTTTAAATTACATGTTGAATAAATAATTCTTTTTTATAAATTATTTCGTATGAATTATAATTTTCATATAATTTATGATCAATTGTAATTTAGAAACTTTTCTTATGCAAATTAACGTGTGCTTTATATTTTAGGGAATTAATTGTAGCAAAATAATTTTTTTGCTACACGAGAATATTATTATTACTTCTAAATTATTTTATAAATACAAGTGTAATTTATTTAGTACTTTTATTTTACTTATTTATTTATTTTTTGCATTATACATATACTTATTCTATTATACATCCGTTAAAAAATTATATTAAAGGAAAACCACATAAATTTTTAATAATGCAATATCAAAATATTATACAAGTAAAATTCACAATTTTTATACCTTATAATTAACATAGGGTATGATATAATGTGTTGTCAAAAAATATAATATACTTAGACAAACTACATGTATTATTTAATATAGAGAAACAGTATAAGTAATGGCTAATTAAAAATATACTTAAGAACTCATTATTAAAATAACGTATCATGCTGTAGTAAAATAAATTATTCTTATATTACGATGGGAAAAAATATTCAATACATAATTTTCTCTGTATGTTTTCATTAATGCAATTATGTATAAAACTTATATAAACTATTTAAATTATGTCCTTTTACAATATTTTAAATTTTAATTTAAATTATATAGTATAATATCACATGTAAACATTATTAAAGCATTCACTAATTATTATGGGTAAGAATTTACAAAATTCGGCGCATTATGCATTGATTCTAAAAAATCCTATTCCTGAAATATGTATAATGTTTTATTTTGCTTTTTTTTTTTTCTACATTTCTTATGTATCACAGATACAAATTCTATAAATTATTTTTTTAATAAGAATACAAAAAAATAAAAAGTAAACTAATTTTATATTAATATATTTTAAAAATAAATATTATATTAAAAATTAATATTGTCTTTTATGAAAATTTCTTTATGAAGTATATAAAAATTTAATATAATTGAATACTATATCTAAATTGTACCTGTAATATAGACATAATTTAGGGCATATAATTATAAATTTTCTTTTAGATCAATATTTCCTTGAAAATTAAATGTTTATCAGTTTTTTCTAGTATATATTTTATTCCTTTTTTATGGTATGCTTATAAAATATTGTCTTTAGCATATAAACTTAAATATCTTTTATTTTTACTTATCACTTAATATGTAAAATATGTTTATGAACTCTTTACTAAATACAGAGAATTTGGATGTTTTATTATTATATTTAAGTTCACATTCATTATAGAGATTTTGATGAGGATCTTTTGTAATGCATGGTATATCACCATATACTCTATATAATAAAATTATTATATTTTAGCAATATAATTATAGGAGAAATCATTTATTTTTGAAATTTTTTATGAGAATTATGTTTGTTATATTTATTCATACGCTAATAAGAAATATAAATAAAAAATTTACTATTATTTTTTCTAAAACACGAGATTAGACATATTTATTGTTAAAATATAATGAAATAAATATTCTTCCATTTTTAAGATTCATATATATACAAGGAAAATGGAGATAAAACTACTAATATATATCATAGTAAAATAATGTTGGAATGATTTTGGAAATGATTTTTCAAAAGAACTATTATATATATAAACATGTTAATGTCCCATTGGAATAGCATATTATTAGTAAAAAGGTAATCATAATAATATATTTTTGAGACCTCTAAGATCAAATAATTTTATGTAATATTTATCACAATAAAAAATTTATAAAATTGCAACGCTATTATATTTGGGAATAAAATTATAAGGATAAATTGAAGCAAATACGTGTTATACAAATTAATGCATCATAAGACAACATAATAATATTTTGGATTATATATATATTAAAATTGAATGCATAAATATGCAGGATTATATATATTTTTTAACCAAATAAAAAATATATTAAAACATTTTAAAGCATGTAATATCAATTCTATTATAATAAGAGGGTATGTAATATTTATATAACTATTTAAAAGAGATAGAATAATAAGTTATAACAAAATACACATCCCTTTTTTGCAAAAAATTATCTCCAAGAACATTAATGACAATATTAATAACCTTGTATAATGATAATAAAGATACTATTATCGAATCATTAAGAAATTGACTTTGTTCGTTTAATTTATTATAAAAAAAAACTTTTACGGCCATATGATATAAAGCAAAGCAAGAATAAAAGCAAGATATATGCATTTTGATATTTAATACTTTATATAAATATATATTATTGTTCTTAACTTTTTTTCTGTTGAATTATAAATTTAAAATATATTTTTTACAGGATATCTAGTTCTAATTTTCAAAGTTATCCTATGCTGCATCTGATGTAATATATTAATTACATTATATTAATTTGCTTCATATTACTTATTATTATCGTAATTGTCATTAATTCATTCTTTAAAAGTTCTATGAACCTATGTGTTTCCATTTCCTTAAATTTTTTTTTTACATGCTAGTCTTGATTGTATTCATAATATATTTTCTTATGTAATAAATGCTTCTTTCATATATTAGAAACATATTAATGTTATTTTGCTTTTCTTAAAATAAAAATACACAAAAGTGTGTTTGAATAATAAAAATAGCACAGTTAAATTATAAAGATTTACTTGTATACAATATGAAATGTGTCCATCAAAAATAAAAATTATAACAACAAAATACATTTTAATAATAGTAATTTTACATCATATTTATGATAGTGTCACATAATAAGAAAACATATAAAGGTAAATATAGTACTAAAAATAAGGAAATTAATAGTTTCTTCTATGGCGTTATTTATTAGTTCAATTATACTTTCAGTAAATAAATCATTTTCTACATTAATATATATAAAATATTAAAAGAAATATATAATAATTTGAAATCTTAAATTCAAATGGAAATACATTTTATTCATTATATACTGGAATACATAAAACATTTCGTATGTACATAAATATAACACAGAGAATATAAAATGAATAAGGTAAATCTATACTATAAGAATACATATTTGTATATATCAGACAACAATAAAGGTTCAAGTAGATATATTTAAATTATAAATAAATAAATGCATTAAAACATCATAAAATATATTATTATATATAAATATATTATTTATCATGTATATGGAAAAGGAAAATAAATATATGTAATCTTTTGTGCAACATATATTTATTAAATTCTAATTGAAAAAAAAATTTAAGATGTGAATAAGGTAATTATTAACGCATATAATACAAATCATTATGATATAAAATTATTAATATACGTATATTTTTTAACGCGTACGTGCTGTATACATGAAAATATGTAGATGTATTTAGTATACAAATATCACCTTATTAAAAAATATAAATATATTATATTAATTCATGATAACAAAAAAAAATTCCTTTACACTTTATTCGTATATATGATGAATCACATACATAATATAAGTTAAATTCAAATGTATAAAGCATAAATAAGTACTATATTATACAGTAAAAAATATATATCAATAATAAAAACCAATATATATATAATAATGA